AGAAAGAACAATGAATCCAAATGGATATTTTTTTTAAAAAAGAAATGGGACTGACATATCTTTTATGGGGAGAAGGCAAGTTATAAACAACTTACCTTAAATTTAGAGAAACACTGGCAAAAATATTATTTGATATAGATATTCATCCTTCATCAAACACATCTGACTTTTTTTTTTAATTGACATACGAACTGAACTCCTAGAATGTTCTCTTTTGATGTTAGCAATCCTTAATGGCTGCCCTTCTTTGGCAAAGACAGCATCTAAATCAGAGTTTTTCAAATTATGTTCTGTGAATCCCTAGAGCTCAGTGGAGAAGAGATGTGGTGTAGTGGTTAAGGCACCAAGCTAGAACCTTGAAGACCTTAAGTATGAAAACCACTGGGTGACCCTGAGCTAGTCATTCTCTCTCAGTCTTAGGAAGGAAGAGGACATGTACTAGCAGTCACCAGAAGTTAACACTGATTCCAAGATTTATATACACACATACATAAAGGGGTGTGTGTGGGCGGGTAGGGCATAAGAATTTTAGGGGGTGGGTTCCTTGAGAGAATAAGGGAAAATATACAGTAATTCAAACATAGCTTCTATTCTATTCTATTCTATTCTATTCTATTCTATTCTATTCTATTCTATTCTATTCTATTCTATTCTATCTACCCTACCCTACCCCACCCCACCCCACCCCAACCCTATCCCACCCCACCTCACTCCACTCCACTCCATTCCATTCCATTCCATTAAAAATATTTTCTTATTGATGAAGGGTTCTATTCTATGTTTTTTAATTAACAGGTCAATGCAGCCTGAAAAAGTTTGATCTAAGTTTGATCTAAACCATGGAGTTTGTGAACACCATTTTTGAAGGGCATCTATCAAATATGAACCAAATCAAAGTTGTTGAAGAGCAAAATTTAGACAAAAAGAATCTCATAGAAAGGAATAACCCATTTCCCCAAAATTCTGCATTTTAGAACTCATTTTTGGTGCATTGTTATGATCCATCTTTTCATACGTTTATTAGCTTAGAGAAAAGAGGTTTCTGTTAGCTTTCACAACAAAAGTGAAAAAACCAAAAAACCACAAAAGTCACTTTTCATACTGTCCCCCTGCGATGCAGAAGGAAGCTTTATTCTCCATTTCAATGACAGTATTAAAAATAAATACATGATACAGTCAGTGTGGCCATTCTTTAATCAGAGAGAAAGAGGAAATTATGGAGCAAATTGTAGACAAAATAGTGATCTGGCACAAAGAAGCAGAAGAACCCTTGGAGAAAGATGGATGTTAGGTAGATTGATGGAAGCAGCACTAAAACTTGGAAAAAGCAGGAGAGCAGCAAACCTTTTTCCAAACATTTTTAATAACAATTTCTCACAGCCTCATGTTTCCTAAAGATATGGGACCACAACTCCACAGCATTAGCCATACTAGCTGGGGATTGTGGAAACTGTAGTTCAACACTTCTGATGGGCATCACTTTGGGGAAGGCTGATAGCACCAAAGATTCTATAAATTATGATCCCATCTCTCATGATAATAACCTCTGAGGTAGGTCATCAACGCATAGGCAGCCCATTTAGAATTAATTGTCTGGGGTAATCCAATGAGTCTAGGTTTAATGTTAAAACAAAGCCTGAAATCTGAAACCAGAAAAGTTAAATTAGGAACTCCTAGGGAATATTTCTACAAGTGAATTTGCTATATTAGGCATGGAACTACCTATGTACAACCATAACTTGATTGTGTACTGCATTTGCGCAGTGTTTGTCAGCAATCAGCAACCTTTTCAAGTCCCAAGTGACATTGCATGGGGGCTAAGTTGCCCTCCCCCCACAAATCATTTGTAATCTCCTGAGATGATGACAGCCCTACCCTGCATTTTTACTAGAATCAGAAATACACGATTGTAATGTTTTCAATGAGACTTTGTGAAACCTTGAGCACGCTCCCTGAAATTTTATAAGATGTGAAGATGATGAAGTTAAATTTCAAAAATTTTTATTAGAGGGCATGTGAGGCTCATCTTCAGATGTAGAGACAATATGGTTCACTTCATCAAGCAAATTAACATTGCCTTAGAGCTTTGACCAGCCATTCCAACAGCCATTAGAGGTTTTGTGTCTGCTTAGGGCATGTGCAGAACATCTTTTCTGTCTGTTGGAACTGCCAGGAGAGGCCTCAGAGCTGAGATAAAATGAAGTAAAGTGGCTGCTTTGTTGATGTTTATAAGCAAGGGGGTCCACACTGCTTTATAAAATAGTTTCATAGCAATGCTTTACACAAACCTTTGTTGAAGCAAAGAGCCCTTTAGAAGCTTAACACGGACTTATTTCCCCCCCCCAACGTTAATTTTATTTTAATTGAGCAGGCTGCAGATGCTTTTTCTGAGGACCAAGAGATGCCCAGGTGCATGGAAGCTCTTTATGACTGCCACTTGCTGTGTTCATTGCCCCCACAGTCCCTCCATGTGCTTCTGTGCCAGTGAGCATCAGAAAGCATTTGGTACAATGCAGAATTTCAAACAAATTTGGCATCTTTCCTTGATGTGAAGGTATATCTGTTTGTAATAAAAGAATAATGAATTTCTCTTTGGGAAAAAGCATAAATTTGGGAACTGAGAAACAGTAACATTTCTTACCAACTGAATTTGATTAGCGCCAAATTCTACCTTCATGCAATGTGTGCAATGCTATATATTGATGATCAGCAACTGAATAACTAAAAAAGGTTGTTTGGACAGGGCATTAGAACAAAGTGGACTGTGATTTCCCCCCCTGTCATTTCCTTTGTTATTTCTCTTTTCTCAGAATATGAAAACTGCAGCTAGAAAATATGTAGCCATCCAAGACTGAAAGCTCTGTAGGAGGTTTGCTAAATCTCTTTTATAGACATGTAGAGGTGTGTTCAGGGTAAAAAGATAGGGGCACAAGTTTCACAAATTTGTGCCTATTTCCTGCTAAAAAGAGACTCTCCAAAGACCATTAAGCCAGAATCTACAACATATGAATGGTTGACCAGTGAGGTGGAAATGGTTGTCAATGCAGATGTTACACATAATATGTCTTTCTCCATCCCCTTTTCACACCTTTATTTCTATTCAAAATATATGGGAAATTTTCTCTATGTGTCCCCTATATCTTTCAACATTCTAAAACATTTACAGCTGGACCCAAATGATTGTTCATCCTTTAAAGTAGCCTTTATACTAGGATTCTTCAACTTGGTGCCATGCAGATGAGGATAACTCCTGTAGTCAAACACATTCTGACAATATCGGATTGGGGAAAGACATTTCTAAAGTGCCATCTGTCATATTTTCTCATAATCTTGGAATAGTAAATAATGTCTTTCTGCAGTGTTTAAATCTATGCAGGGGTATATTCTCAACACCATTTTCCTAATTCCTTGAATTGAAGATCTACCTGTCTCTTCCAATATGACATTTTCTGCCTTAGAGAAGTGGTGTCAGTTCTGCAAGGCTGCAGCCAAGGACTAATTTCACAATTCCTAGCAAGCAAGCTATCTCTCCCCTGAGACATCTTCACCCAGATATGAATCAATCTTCCCTTGTCCAGTAACGTGAGGATATGCCTTGTCCTTCTACTTCCTTGAGTAAACAGCATTTCTCCCTCCTTGTCTCAAACATTAGGAGAGACATTACAAGAATATAATTGAAAAGGTATGGGTTTTTTCTCCCTAAAGTAGCAATTTCCAATGCTGGCAAAATCTAACAATCAAGAAGCAGATACAAGCTTCCAACATTCCAGGGAGCTCCTCCAGACCAAGTAGATGAAGATGAGTGAAAAAGTTTCTCTACCTTCAGGTCATATCTACTGCTCCTGAAGTTCTTGCTATGACTCAGCCCCAATCCAATTCTTCCCAGTTTGTTTCTGCAGATTCTGGCCAAATCTGTTTTATTTGTATTTATTTATTTTTTTTAAAAATCATTGATTAAGATTAATTTAAATCAAAGGAACAACACTATGATTCCATTTGGGTAACTTTTATTTTCTCTTGACACTACCAGTCCCAAACCCTCAGTGTTTTGATAGAGACATCATCGCAGCACATAAACTATATTTGTGCTCTACTTAAGGAAAACTGACCCATAAGAATGAAGTTAGGATCTGGCTATATATTGGTTCAAGTTAGTGATTGGGAGAGAGGCTTAGGGCAACAGTATTGAAAAAGGATTAGAGCGAAAGGATCAGGTTTTCCACCACTATGTCAAGTAATTGATCATGTATAACTTATGTCCCTGCAGTGCCCTTTGGAATTCTGAATGTTCTAGTGTTTCTATTCAATTTTCTAGTTTCAGACTTAGAAATTTTCAGGAACTACGGGTAGAGAGGGAAAACTGGGGAAGGAGAAAAATTTTCACTATTTTTAAGAGTGGCCAAAAGGGAAATAGACATATCAATCCCAAGGGATGAAAAACATTCATTAAACTGTAGTGCACCATTTGGGACCTCAGATACAGATACCTAAATGCAGCCTTCTAAGTCTTTTTTATTCAGCCCCTCTTACTGGCTGTTAATTTTTAGTGAGTTAAAATTAAACTTAGTGATATTAAAACTGGATAAAATGTGAGGGATGGATGAGATGGTGAAGTGCTCAGGCAAGGAAGTGGATGGGGTAAAATAAATAGTTTATTTCTACCAAGGTGCCATTGGATCCCTCCCATCTGGAACCCTGATATCCTCCCCATGTGACCCATGGCGGTCCCTGTTATGGGGAAAAATGTTAAACAGAATCCATTCAACAATGTGGCACAGTCATCTAATTTCTATGAACGATCCCAAAGCTCTCTGACCAGTTTAGATTTCTCTTAGCATCAGTCACAGGGATACTGAGAAAGAAGCAAAGGGGAACTAGAAAAAGCAATAACAAAAAGAGAAAAATACATGTCAAAAGGCAAAATATGGCCTCTTCCACTTTTGACTCTGACCATGACCGCTGTTTGCTTGAGTCTTATGCATTTTTAACGCATGACCTCCTACAGATTACTTCCCCCAAATGTGGCTGTTGACAGATACAACCTCAACAGTAGTACCCCTGATGGATTACATCACTTTTAAATAACAATGATGAAATGAAAGCGCAGTGTGGGCTTTCCACCATAAGCACTGAAATATTTTGGCTAAATGTATACATGAAAGGGTAAAGTGTTTCAAGGATGATACGTCCATTCATGTCCTCTCAATCTCTTTTCCAAACTCAATGTCTCTTAGTAGAAGCCGGGTGTATGCCTGGCATTGGTGAGGCATGTTTCAATCTTTTCATAGTCTATTTTCCTTCCCCAGTCCTCAATCAAGTGACATTTGAGACATGAGTTGCTTTACATTCAAAAGAGGTATGTCATCACCCAGAGGGGTAATAAGGAACATTGTTGTGGTAGTTGTAGTCAGGACACACTTTTTGCACAAGTCTGTAATCTATGCTGTAGAAGGTTATGTAGATACAGATAACTTTGAATGGCTTGGAGCAAACCCAAGAGACCTGACTCTGTGTGTGGTTCAGGAAGCAGGTTTTAGAAGGGTCATAAGTGCACAGAGTAGTCTTCTTCGATTTGCTCACCTTCTCAGACTCCACCCGGCAGTTGAAGATCTTTGATTCTTTTGCCTCTATGAAGATTTGCTGCTCAAGATCAAACTCAACTGCTTTGTTTGGTGGTACCAAGCTGACTGAGATGTTCCCTTGGCCAGTGGAGTTATGACGAAAGAACACATTGACTGTGCCATTCCCATGATCAACCACTTTGCCTGTAATTAAGAGGTTGAGTTTTACTGTCTTGATGTTGGAGTAGAAATCACCCCACCCAAATATTTTTTTGAACTGACTAGGATTGGTGAGGGAATCTCTTCTTCCACGAGGTTGTTTGCTTTGTCCCTGCTTGGACAAACTATCTAGGATATTCCAAAATTCTGGTGCATTACTGGAGACCAATTCTAAGAGAGTTGTATTCTGGAAGTAAGATGGGGTTACAGAGGACTTTAGGGAGACTTGGGCTTTTTTCTTTTGCACTCGGGATCTTTGTTGAGTTTTGGAGGATTTTCCATTTTCTTCTTCTTCCTCTTCTGTTGCCTCATCTTGGCCACAGATTACCTATATGGAACAAGAGGACAGCAGGACCTCATTATCTGTTTTTCCTTTAGGGAGGCAGCTGGACTTCATGGTTTTAATTGCACCTTCCAATTCCATGACTGTTAGAACCATGGCAAAACGCTTTCCCAACACATTGTCCTTCAGATCAGTTGCATCTACAGCTCCTAGAAAACTTAGTCAACATGATTATTGACTGGGAATACAGACGGTTAGATAGAATTTTATTTGTATCACAGATTGTAATTTGTATATAATCTGGCCCCTATATGGGGAGAACATGTGCAGGATAACTATGAAAATTCTGACTATTATCTAAAACTTGATATTCACAAAATAATGTGGTTAAATTATTTTGGTCTTTCATATGTATGATTTTATCAGTTAAGATTTAGTATTACAAGTAAATCAGAGCATTGTGATTATTGAACTCTCTCTCTCTCTCTCTCTCTCTCTCTCTCTCTCTCTCTCTCTCTCTCTCTGTGTGTGTGTGTGTGTGTGTGTGTGTGTGAGTAAGTGTTTTAAATAGTAGTGTAATGTGATATATGAGTAGCCTATAAGTAGTTTTTATGTATTTATAAACCTTTTAATTTCAGGAAAAAATTGGCTTTTACAGCAAGCTAAAAGCCCAGTGCCCTGGGAAAAAAAGAAAGACCTGCTTCGATGTGGGCAATGATCTTTTAAACTTTCATCTGTGCTAAATTTGGTTTTTTATTACATAATGCCATGAATAGATTTAGTGCTTGACAGAAAGGTCTCTACCCCAAATATGGTTCCCAAATGGAGAGACGTCCAAAATTAGACATAAACTAATAGATGAGTTGTATGACTTTGGATTTTATTATGCCTGGATATGAAGAAAAAAAGGCAAACAATGAATGGGAAAAAATTCCAAAACTCATTTTAAAAGAGTAGGAGAAAAGAGAAGGCAAGACATATTTTAAACATGCACTAAGCTATAGTTTATCATAATGAAACTGAACCCAGTTAATCCTCAGTTTTGTATGTCTTCCCCCACTTTCCCCCACAAAAATACATTTCCATGATTAAGACGTTAAACTGAATTTGGAAATTATGGAATTGTTGTATTAGGACCAAAAAAAACCCTCTACTTTTCTCTTCCATGACCTTCCCATTAATTCAGGGAAACATTTTAGTGCATATAAACCCCAAAACTGGTTTTAGATCCTTCCCATACTTTACAGGGAAGTGGAACATTAGATTCCATAGATCCAAATTCATCCCTCTTCATGGCACCCAGACATGGAAACTCACAGTAATATTTCCAGAAAAACTGAAGTAAGAGTACAATGTATACAACCATCAGTTTCTGGAGGATTTAAATCTAATAAATAAACAACCAAGCATTAAAGAAGGAAATAGTATATTGTAATATTGCTATCCAAAAATGATTGTTTGAGTCGAGCAGCCCTAGAAGCCCATTAAATAATAAATTAATTAATTAAAAATTGTTTGAAGGAAAACAACTTCATGAGCTATTGTGAGAAATATTGCTTTTATAAGCAAACAAAAGTGAAGATCAACCATGGTTTGGCAGGATCACAAAACCAATTAATGAAAACAGAATCAAAAGCCGCAGGATTTTTTTCTTACAGAAAATGTGAAGAAGGGAGAAAAGAGATATGAACCAAAGAGAAAAGCAGGGTTATTTTTGAACCATAAACAATAGTTCCTCAGGATGCCTGAATTCTAGATGACGTCACACCTAGAATAAAATTTCATGCATAAGTAACAGTAAAGTGAAAACAAACAAGCAGAGCAATGAGCAGCACAATTCCATGTACACTTTTGAAGAGTTCCAGTGTTGGAAATTACGGAATTGTTGAATTAAGACAAAAAAAGAAAACAAAAACACTTTTCCCTCTCTTTACCCCACTGTTGATTCAGAAAAATGCTTTACTACATATATAACCCAAAACTAGTTTGAAATCCTTCCCACATTGTGATTTTGTAAGGAAGTGAAACATTAGATCCTACAGATCCAAATTCATCCCCCTGGATTTTTTTTAATCCATTTTTTTAACCCATTCTGAATTCAGAATTCTGATGCAAAAACTTCTAAACCTTTGGAAGATTTCTAGCATTTAATTTCCTCTTTTCCCCTTTTTCTCTGACTTCAGGAGGAAATGAGAAAAAAATGAACCTTAGAGCCACTGGAGGAAGGCATTAGGTAGAATTAAAATAGTGTATAAAAAAGGAAACCCAATTCTGAATTTTCATAGGAACAAGCATGGTCCTCCTTCCTTCCTTCCTTCCTTCCTTCCTTCCTTCCTTCCTTCCCTCCCTCCCTCCCTCCCTCCCTCCCTCCCTCTTTCCTTCCTTCCTTCCTTCCTACCTTCCTACCTTCCTTCCTTCCTTCCTTCGCTTTTTAGGAAGGAGAACCTCTTTCTTCCCATAACCTTCCCAAGGGCTTCTCAGCCTTAGTAATTTTAAGATGTAGGACCCAGTCAAAATACTGGCTGGGAATTCCAGTATTTAAAGTGGCCAAAGTTGAGAAGCCCTGCTCTGGAAGGACAGTCCATCCCTGTATGTTTGCCTTAAACATGATTTTTTTTAACTGGTGGACTGACTCAGTGAGTGGTTGAAAGCTATGAGCAAAGAAAATAATAGGTAGGTGTCAGGATATAATCAACTTCAAATGGAAGAGAAATATTTAAATGAATGGTACCCACTGATAGTTGCAAAATGTTGATTCTTTCGTCTTGTCCAATTTTAGCATGACCCATGGATTATTCAATATAATTTGATTGGCTAGGTACCCAAGGGTTTTAGGAACTGGACTGTCTTAAAAAAATAAACATAAAACTGTTGACTTGCCCATCTATGTCCATTTGTGTGTATAGGTATGTATTGGTTTCTCCATGCTATCTTGCAGAGTTCAGGACAAAAAGGAATCAGTTGCTGCAGGCTTGGGATATTCAATGGTTTTCCTGCAATGCAGCCTGTTTAGGAGGAACCCTCAGCCTCTCCCTTTCTACTTCTGAATTGCCTGGGAAAGCTTAAAGAGAATCCAGGCTCTTTGGTCAGAGCTTCTTCTTTCTCCAATAGGAAATTTCATTGATCAGATTTGTATCCTACATTTACATCAAAAGAAAGAGCACTTGAGAAATTAAAATAGAAAGCAATTAATTAAAAATATAGCGGATAAAGGTAAAATGAGCATAATGTAACAATTGCAGACAAAAAGTTTAATATGATGGTGAAATTGTGTAACCATTATAAATAAACAAAAACAATTCAGAAAGCGTTTCACTAATCTATCATCTTTTAGCAGAGACCACCTAATCTTTTATTCCAATATAACCCATCTCGTACAAAAAGAAGGAAACCACATCATTTATTAAAGGGAATAAAAGGGATAGTAATATTTCCCTGATGTTCCAATGTACACCCCCCCTCCCATGGATTAACCAGGATACGTGTTGTCCTCAAAATCTCCAAACAACTGTCATGCAGAAGTAAAGCTTATGAGAATTGTAGTCAAAGACACTAGGCAAATAGTTGGTTCAAAAATGTTGCTATTGACATTTACTGTTAAAATAAATGCTTTTGCAATGCCAATTTAAGATTTTTCCTGCTTGAAGCAAATCCCAGATCATGCCCATCAACCTATGCTAGATCCAGCACTTTCAATGGTCCAGTGACATCTTCAAGTTTCTACCTCATTATCTTTCTCTATTAGAATTGGAACAGCCTAGAAATGCTATATAATAATGGTTGTTCTTTAGACATATAACATGAGCTGATTCATCACTAGAAAATATGATAATGCTGGCTAGGTGGAAATGAGGAGGAGGAGGAAGAAGATCCCACAGTGCATGAAGTGGATACACAAAAATAGTGGAAACCACAGGAATGCAACCACAATAATTGCATGAAGTGGTGTGACAGAGAACAGATTAGAGAGTTTTTATCTGTGGAATCACTAGGAGTTGATTACAATTTGACAGACCATATCAACAATAGAAATGCCACAAAACAAACTCATAAATGTCTCTTTATGGCGAGGTTTGAAGACAGCCCAGAGACAGTCTGGACACATCCTTAGTCTTAAAACCATCAGTGAAATAACTATAATTATAGAAGCAACAATAAATTGATGAATGCTTAGAAGTTGATTTCATCAGAGGGCCTTTTTCCAGAAGGGGTATATTATAGGGATAAAAAAATGTAGCTACCAGCTGTTGTCCCCTCACCCTGTCTCCCATTAGTATTCATGATAAGGACATCTGCCTGATAGATGGCCAGACTACATCTCCACCAACCCCATACTGACTATTCCAAATTTTCTAAAGTTAGCAACTCATAAAACCTCATTCTTATTTAGCTTGAGCATTATGTTGTTTGTACAAATATGAGAATTGGAATGGGACAAAGTAGCAAGGCCTATACATTTTGATGTGAAGCAAAAACTCCATGTACCAATATTACTCCCCAATACTTTCAACTGAGAAATGCCAGAGATTGAAATAAAGATAGTTTGCATATGGCTGTAGAATATGCAAATTATAAACCTTTGCCCTGATATTTTATTTGGCACGTGTTTGTCAGATAAGGAAAATTAACAGAACAATGGAGTTATAAGGAACTTTGGAGGTCTTCTAATCTAACCCCATGCTCAAGCAGAAGACTTATACTATTCCAGACAAGTGGCTGTCCAATCTCTTCTTAAAAGCCTCCAGTGATGGAGCACCCAAAAGTGCTGAAGGCAATCCGTTCCATTGGTTAATTGTTTTCACTGTTAGGAATGGTGGAGTTTGGATAGGAGCCTATAAATGTGAAATAATATGTAATACCCTCTAGACTTGGATGTACTATGCTTCTGATCCTGGAGGTAGTATACTGTATATAGCCTTTGAGAAGATTACCCAGATTTTGGAATTTGTTTCCAATATTATATAATGATAGCCATCAGTAGGGTTGCCAGGTCTGCTTCCAAAAAATAGCGGACAAGCGGGGGGGGGGGGGGTTAAGTAGTAAAA